ATCTAGTGGCAAAAAATAGTACTGCTGGGGTGGGGAATCTCTGGATTGAAGCTGAATATTGCAACAAAAGCTGGTTTTGTTGTTTTATGTCTTTATGGGCTGTTCATTTTTATCTTGCTGTTTTTGTCTGGAGTTCTGTTTTCAGCCCCAGCCTGCACTGCAGTGGGTCTCAGGTGTTATTTTTCCAGTACCTTATCCAGAGTGTTGGCTTATTAGTATATTTGCTGGTTTGCTGTTTTTTTTAAACTAATATGCAAGGCTCCATATAGAGCTTTAACCTCATTTCCTGTTATGCTGGCAATGTTTTGCCAGACAGGAAGTGAGGGGGAATTTACAACAGCAACACATACAAAAATAAAAAAGGACAGTAGGTGAAAGCTAGAACCCTATCAGATTTTTATTTCCTTCTGTGTCCCTACTGCACTTCCTGTCTGGTAAAACTATAGATACCATGACAGAAAATGAGGGAACATCTCTCTAATGGAGGCCCAGATAGCAGTCAACATCTGACAGGGGTTCTAACCCTTCCTTGCTCTATACCAGGGCTGGGCAACTCCGGCCCTCCAGCTGTGCTTGAACTACAAATCCCTCCTCTGCCTTTGGGTGTCATGCCTGTAACTGTCAGTCTTGCAATGCCTCGTGGGACTTGTAGTTCCACAACAGCTGGATGGCTGGAGATGCCCACCCCAGCCCTATACAAAAGAAAAGAGAAAACGTTTGGCTTCTCACACTGTTTAATAAAATCTGAGATTAGGGGGCAACAGTGAAGCGCCACAGCAATGCATCAACAAGGTGTCACTGAGCATAGAAATAGAAGATTTGTCAAATCACAAAGGCATTGAATGGTTTGTAGACCACAGAACTTTAGAAGATCTTTACAATGTCCTTTTGAAAACCTCTTGTGTAGTCTTAACATGTTTTGGCTTGTTGATATTTACAGCAGCATGTAAAATACAAAGTGCAAGAAGCATGTGAAGAATAAAATGTGTCATTGCCATTAGCAACCTAGCCTAATACTTGTTTCATGATCAATTCTTCACTACAGAAATGGCAATTGCATGCTGATTGGTTCCCATAGACAATAAGAATGTTTCTTAGCACACTTTTCATACACTATGGAATATATTTATAAGCAATTTGCTGAGCTGTTTATCCTGTACGTGCATGTACTGTGAGCATACAGGCAAAAACGAATGCTTCTTTCTAAGTCGAATGCAATAACAAGAAAATACCACATTATGGCCACTAGATGGAGCTGAAGAGCATAGGAAATAAATACAAATATTCTCAGCTCCATAGCTCCATCTAGAGGCCATCTGGAGACCTGGAAAGGAAATGCTAATAACATTTGTTTTGGCCTCCATTCACACAGAACAAATACATGCAGTTTTGCAGGGCGGATAGTGAATTGTTTATAAATACACTACTTTGTATTGTCATGTGGTTATATATATATTGACTCAAAGTTCTTGTTCACACCTGTGTGATCTGATGCGATTTGGCTGTTACACAACAAAAAGAATACTATTATTATCTATGGGGCCAATTCACACCTATACAATGCGCTTCTTAGAAAAAGGTCGATCTAACTTCTTTAGGTGAGCTTTTAGCTCTATAGACTTCAATGGGAGCGCATGAAAAATGCATTGTATTTTCATACATTTTAGTAAATGACACCAAGTCCCTACCCCTTAGCAACTTATAATTTATCTCACCTTCATTGGCCATGACAAAAACACAATGCATAAAAACCAGGCAACATAAATGTGTTAAAAATGCAGACACACGAGCGTGTATGGGGATGAAGTCCCTTGGTGTATTCTAGTTCACACCTATGCTCATTGCTGTACTTCCCAACTATCCCTCATTTTTAAGGGAGTGTTCCTCTTTAAGGGCCGGTTCACACCACTTCCAATAGTTTCCAGCAGGGTTAGCTTCTGGAACGCACTGTATCGCATTAGAAGATCCTCCCTGCATTCTGGTGCAGAAGGGGGCATGGCAATAGCACCGCAGCCACACTCGCAGTGGGATGCAGCAACCCAATGCCTGTGTTCCGGTCCAGTGTGATCACAAAAAATAGTACAAGCAGGCGTTGATGTGCCACACGTTCTGGTGCGGATGATCGCACTGCGGACTAGGACGGGGGGTGGGGGTGGCTTGCGGCAGAACGGACAGGGGTAAGTTGGGCATTAGGGCAGGAGTAAGTTGTCAGGTATGTTATAGGGCAGGGGTAGGTTGTCAGGTATGTTATAGGGCAGGAGTAAGTTGTCAGGTATGTTATAGGGCAGGGGTAGGTTGTCAGGTATGTTATAGGGCAGGAGTAAGTTGTCAGGTATGTTATAGGGCAGGAGTAAGTTGTCAGGTATGTTATAGGGCAGGAGTAAGTTGTCAGGTATGTTATAGGGCAGAAGTAAGTTGTCAGGTATGTTACAGGACAGGAGTAAGTTGACAGACATGTTATAGGGCAGGAGTAAGTTGTCAGGTATGTTATAGGGCAGGAGTAAGTTGTCAGGTATGTTATAGGGCAGGGGTAAGTTGTCAGGTATGTTATAGGGCAGGAGTAAGTTGTCAGCTATGTTATAGGGCAGGAGTAAGTTGTCAGCTATGTTATAGGGCAGGAGTAAGTTGTCAGCTATGTTATAGGGCAGGAGTAAGTTGTCAGCTATGTTATAGGGCAGGAGTAAGTTGTCAGCTATGTTATAGGGCAGGAGTAAGTTGTCAGCTATGTTATAGGGCAGGAGTAAGTTGTCAGCTATGTTATAGGGCAGGAGTAAGTTGTCAGCTATGTTATAGGGCAGGAGTAAGTTGTCAGCTATGTTATAGGGCAGGAGTAAGTTGTCAGCTATGTTATAGGGCAGGAGTAAGTTGTCAGCTATGTTATAGGGCAGGAGTAAGTTGTCAGCTATGTTATAGGGCAGGAGTAAGTTGTCAGCTATGTTATAGGGCAGGAGTAAGTTGTCAGCTATGTTATAGGGCAGGAGTAAGTTGTCAGCTATGTTATAGGGCAGGAGTAAGTTGTCAGCTATGTTATAGGGCAGGAGTAAGTTGTCAGCTATGTTATAGGGCAGGAGTAAGTTGTCAGCTATGTTATAGGGCAGGAGTAAGTTGTCAGCTATGTTATAGGGCAGGAGTAAGTTGTCAGCTATGTTATAGGGCAGGAGTAAGTTGTCAGCTATGTTATAGGGCAGGAGTAAGTTGTCAGCTATGTTATAGGGCAGGAGTAAGTTGTCAGCTATGTTATAGGGCAGGAGTAAGTTGTCAGCTATGTTATAGGGCAGGAGTAAGTTGTCAGCTATGTTATAGGGCAGGAGTAAGTTGTCAGCTATGTTATAGGGCAGGAGTAAGTTGTCAGCTATGTTATAGGGCAGGAGTAAGTTGTCAGCTATGTTATAGGGCAGGAGTAAGTTGTCAGCTATGTTATAGGGCAGGAGTAAGTTGTCAGCTATGTTATAGGGCAGGAGTAAGTTGTCAGCTATGTTATAGGGCAGGAGTAAGTTGTCAGCTATGTTATAGGGCAGGAGTAAGTTGTCAGCTATGTTATAGGGCAGGAGTAAGTTGTCAGCTATGTTATAGGGCAGGAGTAAGTTGTCAGCTATGTTATAGGGCAGGAGTAAGTTGTCAGCTATGTTATAGGGCAGGAGTAAGTTGTCAGCTATGTTATAGGGCAGGAGTAAGTTGTCAGCTATGTTATAGGGCAGGAGTAAGTTGTCAGCTATGTTATAGGGCAGGAGTAAGTTGTCAGCTATGTTATAGGGCAGGAGTAAGTTGTCAGCTATGTTATAGGGCAGGAGTAAGTTGTCAGCTATGTTATAGGGCAGGAGTAAGTTGTCAGCTATGTTATAGGGCAGGAGTAAGTTGTCAGCTATGTTATAGGGCAGGAGTAAGTTGTCAGCTATGTTATAGGGCAGGAGTAAGTTGTCAGCTATGTTATAGGGCAGGAGTAAGTTGTCAGCTATGTTATAGGGCAGGAGTAAGTTGTCAGGTATGTTATAGGGCAGGAGTAAGTTGCCAGCTATGTTATAGGGCAGGAGTAAGTTGTCAGCTATTTTATAGGGCAGGAGTAAGTTGCCAGGTATGTTATAGGGCAGGAGTAAGTTGCCAGCTATGTTATAGGGCAGGAGTAAGTTGTCAGCTATGTTATAGGGCAGGAGTAAGTTGTCAGCTATGTTATAGGGCAGGAGTAAGTTGTCAGGTATGTTATAGGGCAGGAGTAAGTTGCCAGCTATGTTATAGGGCAGGAGTAAGTTGTCAGCTATGTTATAGGGCAGGAGTAAGTTGTCAGGTATGTTATAGGGCAGGAGTAAGTTGTCAGGTATGTTATAGGGCAGGAGTAAGTTAAGTTATAGAGCCCAACTCTGCTCTAATACATCATTAGAATGAGAGAAAGCTTGCTCTTCTGTCCTGACTGCTAATATGGAGTACATATGATGCATATGGATAATAGGTGTCTGTGGACCTCCAGCTGTTGTGGAACTACAAGCCCCATGAGGCATTGCAAGACACTGACAGCCACAGGCATGACTCCCAGAGACAGAAGCATGATGGGATTTGCAGTTGCACCAAAGCTGTAGTGCCAAAGTTAGCGTACCCCTGGATTCTAGCCTCCTGTAGACACCTATCATCCATATGCAACATATGTACTCCATATCAGCAGTCATTACTGAAGAGCGAACTTTCTCTCATTCTAATGACGTATTAGAGCAGAGTTGGGCTTTCTAGAAAGCAGCACCTGTAGAGCTGATCCTAGTGGAAGTATGGAGCCGTCCATTGTGTGTGAGGAATGTGTCCTCTCCATAGCCTCCCCCTTGTTCGGAGCTGGGAATGTGTGTGCTCCTCCAGTCCTGGTCCCTCCCAGAGTAAAGCATGATTCATTTCCCTGGATCCCCCGGCCCCGGCTCGGGTGTCATCTTACACTCCTTATATAGCCTGAGAGCCGGGGAGAGCTGGCAGGACTCATAGCTTGTCCTTCTTCCGCCTGCTGCTGCCTGCCTTGGGGTGAGACATAGGGGGACACGCTGAGGTGGATGGAGCTGCCATAGGCGCTGCTAGTGGGTGACCTTGTACCCTTGTATAGGGTGGTGGGGGGGCTTTACACACAAACTTCATTAAACTCTAGTCCGCTTCTATACACTTCCCGTGTATTTATAGAAGTCTAACCATTCTACTACTCTAGGGGTCTCCTTCCTTACTAGTGGGCTGCATTTCCTGCAACTCCTTCACACTCTATCTTTTCCACAGATTGGTGACATGGAGGATTACAAAGTGACGCTGGACGGTCCAGCCCCATGGGGCTTCAGACTGCAGGGGGGAAAGGATTTTAACATGCCGCTTTCCATCTCCCGGGTGAGTCACTTGTGCTTCCTCATAGTTACTGCCTTTTTGTTGTGTGTTTGCATGCGTTATCCATTTAAAGGTGAGAAAAAGTAGTAGTTGCTAGGGGCTTGTTGCCATGCGCTATACCTTTTTAATGCCCTCCCGTTGCAGCCTGTGCTGTTAAAAACACACTGAAGGTGTGAATTTATCAAAACTGACGGAATCTGGCAACCAATCAGCTTCAAGTTTAATTAACATGCTGAAGAGAGAAGCTGATTGGTTACTATGGGCAACTGCTTCAGATTCTGTTTGCTTCAGTTTTCATAAATTCCCCCCCATTGTGTAGCACCAAGAGAAGCGTCTGTCGCTTTTTTTAAGTTTCACTGCAGCACAATGCTTAGGCCCTGTAAAATATAATTGGATTTTGTCGTGCATTGGTCAATCGCACAAGTGTGCACAGGGACTCCAGTAGTTGGCAAGCACTGAATGATTACATCTCTGTTGCCGTGCAACTCTCTTCCTGGCTGCTATAAAAGTACCCAAGTGTGACCTTGAAGGGACACACAAGTTTTGCAGCTAGACAGTCCATAGAGATGGCCCCTCTGGCTGGAAAGTGTTCTGCCATCAATCACGTCCCTTCACTGCTGTGCTCTGCATTGCATCCTGAGACGGCTGCTTCGGCAGGCACCGGGTTAAATGCTGTAAAAGTTCCCCTAATAGGAATGCTGGAAGAAAAATAGAATGTGTGTATCCTGTTTCATGACAGGAATTCCTTCAAGCCGAGATTCCTATTTCCATGACACATAAGAGGTCTCTCTGTTTTACATGAAAGGAAAATTATAAGCAATTTACTTTTTTTGATATGGAACAGCTGATGCTGAAAGTAATGTATGATGGAGCTTGGCGATAACCCGTAGGGTGCAGGGCTGCCACACAATTGATGTTGAAAGATTGGCGGGTGAGACTTGTAGTTCCTTGGTTGCTTACTCCCTTTAATTTCTGGGGATAGCCTCAGGTCTTAAAAAGTTTCTGCTTTCCCAGATTTTTTTTTATTTATTTCCCAGATTTACCCAGATGAACAATAATGTCCCTCTTTTTCTGCAAGTTAGATTCAGTTCATGGCTTCGTTTATTTTATTCAATTTTTTATTATTGTATTTTTTTCTTTTTTATTATTTTTTCTTTATTTGTTATTATTACTTTTATTATATTAGTAAGAAGTAAAGACGTTTTAAAACCAAGAAGTAAATCCATCTCTGGTAAATGGAGACTGTGAAAATTCTGGCTTCAGGTTGGCGTGTGATTGGTGGAGAATTATCCCTAGAAATCATTTTAAAATGTTGGCAATGATGGAAGTTTCATAGTAGATGGAGACAGTGGGGTTGATTGACTTAAAAGAGAACTATGGGGTAAGTGTTTTTCTCCATAGTTCTCCTAATGGTCATGGGAGGACATAAACTAGCGTCCTCCTGTCACCCAAAGCTCAGTATATCGCGAGCTACAGCTCGCGGTATACTGAGACCGCCGCAGCCGGGGCGGATCCCGACATTACTGTCGAGATCCTCCCAGCTGCGTGAATGACAGCTGGCTCTGCCTATCTAGAGGCAGAGCCAGCTGTACCCACCCCCTGCCCCGTCCGTTCGGCCAGTCAGCGCTGGAGGATCGGACAGGGGAGGGGAGGAATCCTTGTAAGGAGCCGTGAGTGACAGTCACGGCTCTCTGCAGGGACAGGATCGAGAAGTGAGCGAGCAACGGTATGTGTTCGCTCACTTCCTGATCTATTGAGCCGACCTGTGACAGTTTCATTGTCACAAGTCGGCTCGAACTATGAGGCTGAGTGAAAATCACTCAGATCATAGTTCTCCTTTAAAGCTTTAGAATGTTTATTGACATCATAATTCTTTTCACTTCAGATGCCCGATCATGTGCAAAGAAATAAGCATTTGAAAAAGTGAACATTCTCCTTGCACATGCTTGGAGGATTGAAGTGAAGGGAGCTTCATCTGGCTAAGTGGACATTCTACTATATGCAGGGCTCGAAAATCCACTCGTCTGCTCGTCTGTGACGAGCAGTAAATCAACCCAACTGTGAGTGTTTGATTCTGGTTCTTCACTAACTTTAGGAGGCATATTGTCAGGCTTGCTGAGCCTTGTAGTTGTATGTTGGCTGGAGAGAAAAGGGTTAGCCAAGGTTGCAGTGGTGAGCCCATGCAGCCTTCCACCCTTGTGACATTCTAGTGGCTTGCTGCCTTTTTGGGAACAGGTTCTGTCTTGGTATTAGAAGGGTGAGCAGGCTGAAACTCTACGACTAACGTGTGAAGAAGTATGTGACTCTAGGCAACTGTGTGGGTGTCAGTGATAACTATAGAACGATGGGTGGAGGTCTAATGTTATGTTCACAGGTCACTCCAGTTTTTTTTAGTTTGGAGTAACCTGGTGGGGGTCTGAAAAGCCGAGTCTCTGACATTCATTTCACACCCTCCTCCCTGGGTGGGGCGGCTTTTGTTCCTAACTGTGTTGATTTTGCTTCTGTGCCATGTTCAGACAATCATTTCCCTTCACACTAAGCATTTTGTTCTGCCCTTGTGTTTGTTTCGGGGGAGGTCCTGCCCAGACAAGAAGACTCAAATTTAAGACTGTTTTAGAGTTTGGTTCCCTCATAACTTTTTATTTCATATTAATTACAGTCTTTAGTTGCATCACAGTGCTTCTTACATGGCTAGATGAGGTTTGAAGGCCTAGTCTGTGTCTTCTGGACCTGCTACTGGTCCCGGCTTCTCTGTATTATAGATATTGCAGGCTAAGGAAAAAAAAATAAAGCACTGACCAATTAAAGAATCAGAACACAGAAGGATGTACCTAAGTTGCTGCGTGATATCATTTGATGTAACAAACTCACCATTTATGGAGTGAAAGAAGTACCAAGAAGTATCTGGACCACAGTCAGATGTGCTGAAACATTTGCCAGTTCTCTACTGTTTTATGATGACACAGCAAAGATAATCTAGAGCCAAGTATCAAACCCTATAGAGAACCTAGCAAGCATGTATAGTGGATGTGTATGTTGGATGAAGATGATTGGAAACATCATTTCTAATTGGATAAAGATGATCTGAAACATCATTTCTAATTGGATGAAACGTTGTTTTTAATTGAATGAAGATACTCTGAAACATCAGTTTTAATAATCAGGCAACAAATAGACTTTTTAAGCAAATCCTTAGGGTCCCCATATATATGATATGATTTTCAATTTATTTGTCCATTTTCATCTGGTCTGGGTAATGATCTTGTGTTTCTGGGTAATCCCCTAGTTTGTTGGTCAGCTGCTATCATGGGAACACATGATCAGGTAGCTTGGAAAACCTGTCCAGAATGCTATTTTCCTCCTTGATAAGCTGGTGCCTGCCCCCTATTGTTCCCCCTGACCCAAAAGCATAAAGAGCACACAACTCATTCTGAAGGTGGTTGGACTTTGCCTGCAAAATCAACTGCCCTCTGACATCTTTGGACAGATTTACAAAGCCCAGAGACATCTGATGAGTAATAGGAGCGGGACATGTTAGAGAACCGTATCTAAATGCTGTTGTAGTTACCCCTAGTAAGCCAGTATCCAGTGCTGAAGGTGTATGTAGTGTGTCTCAACTGCCCTGATCCTTTAAGCACATCTAAACACAAACACAAAAATGTAATACATTCCATCTTACTAGTCCTTACATGTACCGTGTTTCACCGAAAATAAGACCTACCCCGAAAATAAGACCTAGTACTATTTTTGGGGAATTGCTAAAATATAAGACCTACCCTGAAAATAAGACCTAGTTTTGACCAGGGCCAGTGGTGGCATAAGAGGGAACTTGAAGTGCCGCAGGAGAGAATCAGTGGTGCCAACGAAGCCAGCGTTAGAGGAAGCGAGGCGGCAGCGGAGGGAGCATAAGCTGATGCCTCCTCTATAGCGCTGGCTCCTGTCACAGACAGAGTGATACCAATGCACTCTGTCTGTGAGGAATCGATAGTGAAAGCGCGCTTCGCTCATTCTGGTTACCAAATTGCTCTTCGAAAGGTACGGCACCTCTGATTGCCCTGATCACCCTATTCTTAACCTTGCCATTTCGGATGATTTAATTTGGATTTGCATTAACTTTGAATTGATGTACATTACAAAAAAATAAAATAAGACCTTTCAAAAAAATAAGACCTAGTGTGTTTTTTTGAGCCAAAGAAAATATAAGACAGTGTCCTATTTTCAGGGGAACACGGTAGTGGCAGCATTTATTTTCTTTTTTTTTTTAGCCAACACCTGTCTAAGCTACATGTTAGATGATGACAGACCTTATACAGGGTTGATGACACTGTTCACCTTCTCCAGGTTGGCAGTGGCTGGGACCAGCAATTGTCCACTCAGGCCCATGCACTGCATCCTGGGAGGAGGTCACATGGGAAAAGTAAGTAAAAGTGGATAAAGTGACGGGCTAAATGACTCTGTTAGTCTGCCGTCAATGGGAGAAATGAGAGGCTACTCTTGATATGATTAGTTGCTCAATGCGATGGCTCATTTTTAGGAAAATGATGACTGAGAAGTATCCAACATTCGTCCTCCTCAGAACTAACAAGACTACAAAAGTGTACTTAGTACTGTAAATCTTATATATCAATTAAAAAGCTGTGAACATACTGAGGGATATACAATCATCCTTGAAAAAAATAACGTCCGTCTTTTTAATGGGCTCATAACATTTTCTGGATACCGGAGAGCGGTGTGTTACCTGCTGGTACAAAGAATGTGGAGAATCTAAGTGACAACCCTTACTGCAGCACAAAACGCCACAAGCAAAGTTGTATAGACTCCTGTAGCGTAGATTATTAGAGAATGAGTAAAGGAGTAGTGACAGGTGTGTCCATAGGCGCTCGCAGATACATGCACAGACTGATGTTATGTATGAGTCAATGCATTTACAGCCTTGCTGGGAGTAGACATCACAACTCGTCACCTTTACTAGAGTATCATTCTTTTGAAGGGGTTTCTCTTAT